CCACTCTCAATCTCAAAAGAACAATCGAGAAGGAGGCGATAGTTGTGAAATGGGAGTTTGAACTTCACAAACTGATCTCAATGCCCGGTGCACTCGAGAAAGTTTTGTCAAAACTGAAGGAACTCAGACTAGAAATCATGGTAATAGTGGAACAGGAAGCCAACTATAACAGTCCTGAAATCTTGGACCGACTTGCCCAATCATTCCCAATCAATATTTTGTGATATTGAAATGGTTATGGTTTTTTTAGCTCCTTGGCTGACCGGACTTTGAAAAATTTTAAAATTTTTATTTGTTTAAAATTAAGTTTTTTTTGGATTGTTTTGTGCCACTGAATACAAACAAAAAAAATATTTTTTCAACACTTATAAGTGTGTATTTAATATTATGGTGGTTTTTCCGGTTGATGTTGCAATTTGAAAACAAATATTTAAAAAAGTTTAGAAATTATAGTTATTTTATAGCAAAGATTTCAAGAGAGTTTTCAGTATCTATAATATATATTGATTGACCAAACACTTTTAAAATTATAGTTGGGATAAATTATAGTTTTAATCATACCTGCTCACATAACCAAACGGAACTAATTAATATGTCAAGCCAAAAAAATGTTTGCTATGAAGCAAAAATTCAAGTTCTTTTTTCTCTATACCTATGACTCCTACATATTGCAATTAATCCATAATCGGTACTTAGACAATGAAAGATTTAATTTATGAACACCATTGCACCTAACAATTCATAGTCTTGTTAACCATTAGGTTTTGCCAGCGTTACTTAATTCCTTCAAGAAGATTAATTAATCCAATATAGGCTGAACATAAAATTAATCAACAAAAACAAAACATATGATGATGATCACAAACCCCTCTAATTAAACCTGGAATCGCAATCATCGAAACCCCAACCTTCTTCTTCTAATACCACCTCAGAATCACAATAACCAACAGTAGGGTGGCTGCCTCTTACCATCAACGAATCTGAGCGAAACAATGTTCTTGACGCGAAGCCGGACATGGAAACGGAATTAAGGAAGACACTCCTGAGTTTGTGCTTCACAGAAACAATTCAAATCACAATTCAGTACGGATAGGTTGCTGAATCTGAAGCCCACTACCCCATCATTTTGATCTCCTTAGCTATTGTAGCTATCTTTGCTTCTCTATTTGTCTCACCGTTCATTGGAAAAAAGATTCTGACTGCATCCAAGGTGCTGGAGAAAGTTGCGTTCTTCCTAGCGGCCACAATCGAGTGAGTTAATTTATTTTATCTAATCATAACACTTTCTAGGAAGAGTACTAATACTAATAAAACAACCTAATTAATTTATATGTGAATTGTGATATATGAAATCAACGAAACTAATTATATCCTACAGAATTTGAATACTGACCTTGTGGTTCATGCTAGCCTTTTCACTTATTCCGTATATATACCCTACAAGATTTTCCAGATTTACTTTACTCCTCCTATGTTATTGTGGGGCAACCGCAATTGGAATTCAACTTTTACAGAGACGGTGAGGATTAGTTCATGCATGTATGCTTATTACGCAGGATTAATAATAGAAATATGACACTTTCTTTTCTAAGCTTAATTTAAAAAGAAAAAAGTAAAGATAAAAATACATCATTAACTACAAAGGACAAACGAAGGAGCTCCAATAAGCTGATAAATACAACATTTTCCCGAGCAAAACGCAGCATATTATATATGGTTCCAAAACTTAATAGCATGGGAGAGGGACTTATTTACATGCTGGACACCAATTTAAAGACATTGCAGAAGCTATAAATTAATATATTTAATCATTTATGAGCAACATGCCACCTAGCAAATGAAAGGTTTGTCGATCATTGGGTTTTGCCAGCGTTACCTAATTCTTCCTAGAAGATTAATTAATCCAACACAGGCCCAACATAAAATTAATCAACAGGCCTACGTAGACCTACTCCATCAGATTGTCCAATCAAATCCATTCTTAACCCAACTTATTTTGCGAGATATAGGTTTCTTTAAGAGTATAATAGATGTTTTTTAAAATATTTTTTTGAATATATATTAAAATAATTTTTTATTTTTTAAATTTATTTTTAATAAATTATATCAAAATAATCTAAAAAAATATAAAAAATTAATTTTAAAATTTTAAAAAATCCTGAACTTTTCTACAACAGTACCGTAAACCTTTTAAAAAGGGATTATAATAGAGTTTCCTCGACGTCACTTTCTTACTTAGCTAATGATGATGATAAACTCTTGGAAACAGCAACTTTAACAAAGAAGAAAAACCCCATTGGAGCTTGAGCTTGCTTCCTTTTTTTTTTTTTTTTTTAATAATCATTATCTACAGCCCAACGGACCTTGTTAAAGGCTCCGTCCTTGGTCCATGTTCTCCTTGGTGTCCGAACCTGCATGCTTACCATTTCACATAAAGTAATATATAATTATTCTTTAACTCTTATTTAATAGTTTCAGTTTCAGTACATTTTTCCAACTGACATTTGAAATTGCGTTCATTTGTAATGAATAATAATAATAATAATTATTATTATAGTAAAGAAATGTGTGTTAATTTGATATCATTTTTTCGAAACAAAAAAATTGTATCTTATTTCTTGTTTTAAGAGAAACAAAGAATGAAATGAGATTGCTCATCTTCATCAGACTGAGCAAGTTCGGGTTTCCATGCCGTTGTGATAACTAGAGCGACAATGTATTGCCGTAATATGGGACATCCATTCTTTCCTATTGAGTCATGTCACTGAGAAGAAAACCTCTTGGAGGCATAATTATAAAACTTGACTTGACTAATTTGGAGGCATGAAGCTTGTCCCAAAAAAAAAAAGATGTTTTTAAAATGCTTTTTGATGATGGATGATTTTAAAAGTAAAAAAATTATATTGATATATTTTAAATTAAAAAATATATATCTAACTTGAAAAATTAATAATGACAATGGTTGTTGTTGGAAGAGGAACTCTAAATTGATTATTATTGCAAATTTGATATCTTATATTTTTAGCCTTACAAGTTACATCATCATTTATATATAAAAGTAGTTGACTATGGTGTGCTTGTTAATCCGAAACAATGCTGAGGGCAATGTGATATTATTGGTAATGTTTGCATAATTAGAGAATGAAAATAGCTAGCTAGTTGACTATCATGTCCTAAACCCAATAATATTGTCATTAATTAGGACACCTGATCTTGCATAAATTATTACGAGTTCTCCAACTGGGATCCACTTCTTTCTAAGTAATTTTCTCGAAAAAACCTGAAGGTAGTTATTAATTAAATCTTTCATAATTGTCTAAGCGCCGATTATGGATTCATTGCAATCTGTAGAAGTCATAGGCATAGAGAAAAAAGAAACTGTATTTCTCCTTCCATAGCAAACATTTGTTTTTGTTTCACGTGTTAGTTCCGTTTGGCTGTATATATGGTAAGGTATGTTTGAAACTATAATTTATCTTAATTATAATTTTAAAAATATTTAATTAATTAATATATATCATAGCATTTACATTATGCTATGATGTATTTGACTATAGTGGTAAGTTCAACCCAACTTTTAATAGAAAAGTATATAAGTTGAACCCAACACTTATTAAATTGAATGCATAGATAAAATATAAAATTAAAAAAATATTACATTGTATGAAGCAGGTCAAGTCAGATAATATAAAAAAAAAATGAAATATACAAAAAGTGATTTGAAACTTTATACTTTAAGGTAAAAATACATTTTCTGCTTCTTTCTTAATTTTACATTTTCTTTTTCTTTTTTTTCTCTATCTTCATAAAATATCATCAATATTTTTATTAATATTTTTTATTACATAAAAATATCTAGTATTGACTTGACTCTCAAATAGTACACCACCATCACTCCTAGAAAAAGAAATTAACATCTAGAAAAAGAAATTAACATCCCTTATGAGATCTATTAAATAAGAAGCTAGCACAAGCTTGAAGTAAAGATAAAAAAACACGTTATCTCTAGGAATAAGTCATCCTATAATATTTTCAGTGATTTTTGTAACCTCATCATATTCTTCATATATATATATATATATATATATATATATATATAATAACAATTATTTTTTATTGAAATAATATTTTTTTATTTTTTTAAATTTATTTTAATATCAATACATCAAAATAATTTTTTAAAAAAAAATTAAAGGAATTTTTTTAACTTTCCTTGAAAACATTTCTAAAATATAAAAACATACATGTCATTAAAAATACAAATTGTTTTTTAGGTTCATTCAACACGTGGACGCTTAAAAATAAAAATAAGGTAGCTGGGAGAGAGCTAAAGGGGCGATTACGAGAGGAGAAAGAAAGGGTGACACGTGTCAATCAAGAAGACATAACCAGTTAATTAAATAATTAGTGAAAAGAAAAGGAGTTATGTCAGTTACAACCACGTATATGTGTGTGTGTAAAAACAAAATAATCCAAGTTGGCGCCTATGAAACTACGAGGATACTACACCTTATAATCCAAGTTGGCGCTTATGAAACTACGAGGATACTACACCTTAGCAAACTAGAAAAGGTATGCTTTATTTTTTAACTTCTTGGTTCAAAATTTAAACATCCAGAAAAAACATATTAAATGTATTTGGATACTTGGCCACGTGTTAATCCTTCTATCGTATATTTGGCCAAGTCGACCTCTGTGTATTTCAACGCGTGGTAACACACAATCCCTCTGTATATTTTATGCACACTAATTAGATGGCTATCACTCACGTCTTACTTAGTCCTCACATGTAACATGGATAATGATAAAGGCGGAGGAAGCATATAAAACAACAAACAAGCAAAAAAAATTAAAATTGATGAACGAAAAGGTTGTAGACCCAAACTCTCTGTAATAAAGTCCCATTAAGTATGCTTTATTAAGAGGACCAATGCTAGCACCTCCTTAACTTTGTGGACATGCCAATAATTAGTTGATGGGAAAATGAACATGGCAGGATAACCGCCTAGAGGCAATTGCAGATGGCAATAGCGATCAACGCCATGATATAGACTGCCCATATAGCACATTTGATGCCAAGAGCGAATGGAGTTGCTATGGCGAAGGAAAACGTTGTGGCCGCTAGGAAGAAAGCAACTTTCTCCAACACTGTGGACGCAGTCGGAATCTTTTTGCCAATAAACTGTGAAACGAATAGAGAAGCAAAAATAGCTGCTATAGCTAAGGAGATCACATTGATGGAGTAGTGGATTTCAGATTCAGCAACCTGTCCGTACTGAATCGTGATTTGAATTGCTGCTGTGAAGCACAAACTCAGGAGTGTCTTCCTTAATTCGGTTTCCAAGTCCGGCTTCGCGTCAAGAACATTGTTTCGCAGTGATTCGTTGATGGTTAGAGGCAGTCGCCCTCCTGGTGGTGATTTTGGAGAAGGTGGATGCCCCGCTTGTGGAGATTGTGATTCTGAGGTGGTATTAGAAGAACAAGGAAGGGGTTGCGATGATTGCGATCCCAGGTCGTCAATATTAGGAGGAGAAGCTGGCAATTTTGATGGCAGCAGTGATGTTATGAGGTGCAAGAGTCGGTACAGAGATTCTGCAACCCAAAGAGAGAAATGAAAAAATAAATCAGACTTCATTGGCACATAGACTTACATGAAATAAACACGTGGAAATTTAATTATCAACAAAACTTGCATGATAAACCTGAATAAAACAGACTTAATACCATCAGGTTGTATTAATTGGTAAGGAGCTTGGATGAGATAAGAGATTCAGATACAAAGTAGTATAAGATTTCTTACCCATGATCTTCATCTTCATTCCACCAATCTTGATCTTTCCTGAGCATCAACAAGAAGAAAACCAATAACAAAGAATATCAGAGATTAATGACGGTCATCGTAGAAAAAGCGGCAAATGTAAAAAAGAAACGATGGAACGGCAGAAACAAAGGATCACTAACCCATAATTGTAGAGCAACCTAGACACGCAGTAAGAGAGTTGAAGTAGAGAAGACAACAAGTGAAGCTATTGCTTGTAGATGACGGATATTTATAGCGCGTTTTTTTTTTTTGACGTACACGGGTTGAGTGGGCCCACTTACACTGTAGATATTTTGAATTCATGTCTTCTCTCAAAGGCGTCACTCCCTAGATAGGCGTCACTCCCTAGATCTTAGAGAAAAACTTTTCAACGCAAGAAAAAACTTTTGAGGGCACTACACGCGCACCATTCATGTCTTCTCTCAAAGGCCTCACTCCCTAGGTCTTAGAGAAAAACTTTTCAACGCAAGAAAAAACTTTTGAGGACGCACTATTTATGTCTTCTCTCAAAGGCCTCACTCCCTGGGTTTCAGAGAAAAAGTTTCAACGCAAGAAAAAACTTTTGATTAGAAACGGGTTTTTTTAGAAACGGGTTTTTTTGAGATTCAACCAGCTAGGCCCTAAAAACCTTTTCTCAACAGTTTCTACACATGAAAAAACTTACGAGGGAACAACACGCGCACCATTCATGTCTTCTCTCAAAGGTCTCACTCCCTGGGTCTCAGAGAAAAACTTTTTAACGCAAGAAAAAACTTTTGAGGGCACTACACGCGCACCATTCATGTCTTCTCTCAAAGGCCTCACTCCCTGGGTCTTAGAGAAAAACTTTTCAACGCAAGAAAAAACTTTTGAGGGCGCACTGTTCATGTCTTCTCTCAAAGGCCTCACTCCCTGGGTTTCAAAGAAAAAGTTTCAACGCAAGAAAAAACTTTTGATTAGAAACGGGTTTTTTTAATAACGATTAGAACGAGTTTTTTTTGGAAACGGGTTTTTTTGAGATACTTAAATTATGTATACTCATTTGTTTCTTGTATACTCTGTGCTTATCAATTCTGTATAAAATTATGCAACTGGTTTCTCCATCATGAAGAAGAAGAAAAGAAGTTAAAATCTATTGATCCCATTTATTTTTTCATGACAGAACAAAGTTATAAATAGATAGCAAAGATAAAAAACAGTCTAGTTCATGACTGGGTGTTTGTTTGGATTGGTGAGTTCAAGACGAACTTCATCTTTCTTGTGGCGCTGCAATGAACTTTATCTTCATGAAACAAGAAATACCAGATGAGAAGAAAGAAGAAAAGGGGAGGAAATAAAGAAGAAGATAAAACGCTGATGTTTCTTGAGTTCATGACTTGTTTTGTAGGTGCAGTCTAGTGCTGCGCTGCAGCCTTGAGAACACCTTAATAATCCAGAGCTTTTCAGCATTGAAGAACTCCTACACCTCAGATTTGTTTCCATTATTTATTTATAGATAAGCTGACCATCTCCTTGTCAGCATTTGAAGCAGGTCCCAGTATGGCTTTCGATTCTCCAGTTTCCTGTTAAGAGACAATCAAGAAAGCTATATAATATACTACAATGTTTAATCTGGGCTCAATTATAGGATAAATTTGATGTTAAGAAATGCACCTTTTCATCAGTCTCACATATTTCCACTAAGTCACCCACTGGGCTAAGCATATTCCATCCCAAGATATTATTTGGATTTGAACCATCAGCATTTGAAGCTGATGGAGAGTTGCCAGAATTAGGCATCAGTGTGATATCAGACATCTCAGCAGCGGTAACTTCAGAAACAACATCAGCCACATTTAAATCCATTCCACAAACTATCCATGAATTCCTACAGCTCTTCTGCAAGGCAGATAGTATTTTATTCACCAAAAGTTGTTTTTCTGAAATTTCTCTCATTTTTGAAGGGAGAAAAAATTCTAACATGTAATCCATACTGCTCCTGCAAGTGCTTCTTAGCTTGATTGCAACAGCACCATGAAGGCCAAACTCCCATGCTTCATAAACAAATGGATAATCAGCTGGATCGAGTTCAGAGACATCGGGGACAAAATAAATATCTGATAGAAGGGCTTTTCCAGCAACACCTTGCCCTTCCTCAATATCAAATTCTGCACATATCTCAACAAATTCTGTTGCTCCTAAATCATTGACGTAGCAAGCAGTATCCTCAACGCGTAGAACGTTTTTTCCCTCATAATTTTTGGCAGGATCTCTGCCATCCGATATCCATGTTAGTGCCAGGGGCAGCTTATATACATGACACACATATTCCAATATGTCAAATATCTCAGCTGAAGCAGCAATCTCATTGATTGAGGGGCACTGCAAAAACCGTAGAAGCAATCTCATTCATCGAGGAGAATTGTAAGAATTGTAGCAGGATATAACAGAATTTAGAAAAATTAAGAGACAATCAAACTCTTTATGTATGAAAGAAATACTAAAGAATTGAGTATCCTATTAATTTCCCCAGACATCTATATAAACAAATAGCAATCTGATAAAAAGCATGCAGGAAAATACAGGACGGGGTACCTCTGAAGACCACACATTTCCTTCTCTCATGATAGTAGGATCACCTTCTTCCTCGCATTTATTTTGTATTATGCTAAGATCATTGAACTCTAGACCTAACAACATGGATTCTGGACTGCCCACGTTCTCCTTGTTGTCCGATCCTGCATGATTAGCATTTCACCATGTTATAGACTAATATATAATCATTCTTGAACTCTTATTTAATAGTTTAAGCTTTATGAATTGAGATATTTCAGAGTCTATTTCAGAGTTTTAATGGTCAAATAATTACAAGTAAACCTCACATTCCCTCTAATTAAATTAATAAAATACGCAAAATACAAGGACAAAGAGCTTTACAGGATTGTGAGAGAAGACCTTCCTCAATACACATGAATGAATAGTTGCTAACCTCAAATATATTTTTCCAACTGACATTTATATAATTGCGTTAATTTGTAGTGAAAAATAACCAATAGTAATAATCATCATAGTAAAGAAATATGGGTGTTTGATATCATTTTTTCGAAACAAAAAAAAAATGTTTCGTATTTCTTGTTTTAAGAGAAACAAAGAGTGGAATGAGATTGTTCAGTACCTCCATCAGACTGAGCAAGTTCGGGTTTCCATGCTGATGTGATAACTAGAGGGACAGTGTATCGACGTAGGAAGGGACATCCATTCTTGCCTTCTATAGTGTATTGAGTCAAGTCACTGAAAAGAAAACCCCTTATATGATTGAACCACTGGCGAACAGGATGAAATCCTGAACGACGCAGCTGATCTCGCCACCAAGCCTGTGTTTCATGCCTCTCAGCATGCTGGATGTCCTCTCGCGCCACCACATTAGTGATCTGCCGCCTAAAATCCATCTCCCACGATATCTTGTTTTCGAGATCATATTCGGTCGTATCTTTCTCTATGGAGTCAAATACGCTGGAGTAGTATGGGAATGATTGGGCAAGTCGGTCCAAGATATCAGGACTGTTGTGGTTGGCTTCCTGTTCCACAATTACCATGATTTCTGGTCTGAGTTCCTTCAGTTTTGACAAAACCTTCTCGAGTGCACCGGGCACTAAGATCAATTTGTGAAGTTCAAACTCCCATTTCACAACTATCGCCTCGTCCTCGCTTGTTCTTTTGAGATTGAGAGTGGATTCAACAATACCTGCTGCAGTATTGGCAAATACATGGTCTAATTTGAAATCTGTCAGGCGAAGTGTTTTAGCCTCTGCAGCTAGGACGCGATCCATTTCTTGGAGGTACTCTTCGTTGTTTGACAGTTTAGGTCTGATATTTGTTACTTGGAAAGACAGTCCACTGCCTACCTGCTTCACTAGATCACGCATCAAATCTCGAATCATCATATTGAATTCCATATTAGAGAAGTTGATAACATGGACTTTCTTTTTTCCAACAACGGCATCAAGGATGGAATGGTGGCTGCTTTTCTATGCAAACCATACGAAAGGAAGAAATCGCCAGCACCTGATGTAATATGAATCCGTGGAAGGTGCTAATGGAGTAGGATTTCGAGGATACAGTTTGTAGAGTCTCCGAATGAGCGCTTCAGCATAGAATCTGACAAGTTTTCTTGTTGCTGTGCTGGTATTCGCATCATTTAGGCGTTTAATCTCCTTGAAAACTGTCTCTGCAAGATTCAGATCACCATCTTCAATCGCCTTAGCAGAGTCTAACAGTTTGTTGAGAAGAAGAGTGGCCATTTTGAGCAACAAAGCAATAAAAAATGACTCTCAATGAACTGAATGACTTTACTCTAGTAGATGGGCGATGATCATGGGAAACAAGTGACCATTTTAAGCAGAGAAGATCAGCCCAAAAATGTCATTCTAGATATCAATTTCCATTTTCTATTCAGCAGTTGCTTCCTTGAAATTTCCATATCAATTTGTTATTTGGATTCGATAGCTTACTTTAAGAAGCTAACAGAAGAAGATCAAGACCTAAAACGTATTAGGTAGTTAATCATTTTCTTAGAGTCTTAAATAAGATAGAAAGAGAAAAACAAAGGTTAGGTGAAGGCATGTTACGTTATCTTAGCATGCGTAGCAAATAATAAAAAAGAAGGATTCTGACTGGTTCTACAAAATTATATGGGGAAATCGCACTGATTCTTCTTCATGGCAATTTTTTTTTGAGTACCTTGCTTGAGTCTCTTTTCATTGACTCAGTCAGCCGGGGCTTCTTCCAATTCAAGGCCGCAAGAATGAAAATATGATCCTGTCAGTTGAAGAGACACTAAACTCAAAATTAATCAAACTGAAAGATTTTTCTAAATTATTAAATAATTTTTTTTATAATATTTTTTTAATAAATCAGATTTTATAAACAACCTGTAATCCAAAAAATAAAAAACTAGAAGAAAAGGTGAAAACACTATTCACCTAAACCCATTGCATTTTAGACGGAACAATGTTTTTACCTTCAATAATAGGCTAATGGTTGATGATAGAATCATCTTTGCAATGGGAATATCTCGGTATTTTTTTTAATTGATTAGAGACAGAATGAGTATTTTATTTTCTGATAATATAATAAATTTACATCATATTATCCTTAAAAGAAACAAAACTACGATTGCTGATTTTTTCCTTATCTACTTTAAACATAAACATGGATTCAAAAGGTGTTATATATGTCTAAAAATAAAAAAGGGATGTTGTTGCTTCCAAAAAGAAGTTTAGTTTCCGATCTAAGATTGGAAGAAGCAGCACGGGGCAAGGGTCATTTAAACTAGGCATGAACTAAAGGGGATGGCATCCTGACGTCCACCTTTGACAGAGGAAGAGTAACTCTCTTTGCAGGAATCATTCTCCTGCCATTACTAAAGGCTACCTCAAACCCTCGTGGATGACGTTCCTAGAACTTTATATGCGGAGGACATCGAGTTTGTTTCTCGTCTATAGCTAAGAGATTACATAGCTTAGATGTTTGATCAAGCTAGGTGTATCAGCCAAAAGACCTTGGACTTACAACCCCTCCCCCTTTTACATGTATATGATGAGGTATTCCTTTCCTCTTCAAGGATTCACGAGAGAAATGTTTAGATATTACCAACTAGATCTAGACTAGTTGTATCCTAATAAGCAGATCACTTCATCCGTCTTTAATAAATTTTATAGGCTCATCAGGATTGAACTTACAATCAATAGTTTTAGAAATTATTATTATTTAGTTGCTCGCATTAATGATAACAATAATATAAGTTGGTTTTTCACCTTCACTAACAGATCAATAGAAACCATGTAGGGAACTTTATGTGAAAAGCCTATGCATATCAAAAAATGATGGGGAAAATAGTTGACAATAAGATATGGTAAATCAGTAAATCCTAAAGGTGGAAAGCAGTAAATCTAGGGTTGTTTTCATAACTCAAATGTTCTTTCCCATGATGCAAATAACAATCCTTGTCTAAGCTCGAATAAAAAAAAACAAAAAGAAGAAAACGAAAAGAAAAGAAAAGAAAATATAGGTGTGTGTGTTTGTAAGATATTATTAGGCCATATTATAAAGTGTGCAACACTTCCTTAGTCTTTGTTATATTTGTAGCTAAGTTTATCATTGAAATTTTTTTTTATGACTAATGATTAAAAATAAAAATTTCAGCAAGGTTTATAGAAAAGAGTTTACAAATGAAGTCTTCATCTTTTATCATGGGTAGAGGTAAGGGTTAAAAAAGTCTTTATAACCCATCATTCTTACTATTTAATTTGGGGAGGACTAAGAAGTTATGCTTTTCTAATACCATTAAAACCTCCATGTGTCAAACATAAAAAATACCTCTCACATGGCATAATAACATGGCTCAAAATGAAGCATGACAAGATTGTCAAAGCCACTTGTAATTGAGCTCAGTGTTTAGCTGAGCTAAAAAATAATAGGTTTGATAATTCGTCAAACTGATATGTATGTAGGCTATGCATTTGGTAGATCTTAAGGATACTAGGTCTAACAACTTACCAGACTTGTATATATTGAAATTTAGTTTTAATTGAACCTATAATTATTTAAATCTGATAGCTCATCAAAGAATTTGGGTTTAATATTTAATTAAGTCGAATAATATTAAGTTATTACCTTGTTTCTCATTCATTTAAATAAGAATCTAAGTAAAAATAAAAACTTTACTAATTAAGAGATTTGAGATTTTCAATCAGCTCCTTTGATAGCAAATGAGAAGATCGAGAATTGAAACAATAATGAAAAACATCGTAGTTACAGGAAAACTACAAACTTATATTATTATTATTGTTATTGTTATTATTATTACTATTAAAAAAAAGGATTTGCTGAGTAATAAATAGACACTTGAAAGAACATGGTAAGGCTTTCACCTCGCGTTCCATTTCAATACGTTGCTTGAGTCACTTTTCATT